AAGTATAACAATTAGGGACATGTATGGAATTAAACACATTGCTTAAGAAGCAAAAATACTAAAAAACTGAAAAATGCATCATCATAGTGAAAGATTTTTAACATATCTCAGAGAAAAAATTAGTAGGAATTTACAAGATTTTAACAACTATTAACAAGGTTTAGCTAATATCAAAATATACAGAAATTTGCATCCAAGAAATAGTACACAATATCTTCAAGTGTACACAAAACAAATTACATGTACTCAAAGAAGCCATAAAGAAAAGCTCAACAAATTACAAAGTTCCAAAATAACTGACATTAAATGAACCACAGTATAAAATAAGAAAGTAGCAAAGAAAATCTCCATTTATTTGGAAACTTAAAAACAAAACAAAAGCCTTCTATATAACCAATGGGTTAAGTAGTAGGTTGGGTCCACAATCCCTTCCTGCAACTCCAGAATACAAGTTCTCTGAAGGCTCTGACCTCACTGGACATTTTTGTAATACCTTGTTCCTTGCTCATGCTTTTCATTCTGTCTTTTATTTCTTCAAACATTTTATACTTCTTAGTTTATATTCTTTTTTTATATTGTTGAAAAGCCAAACTCCTTGAGAGTTCGATTCTTCTGTGTTTTGTTTCCGGTGGCTCTCATAATGTGACTTGTTTCCACACGGTCCTTTTAATTTTGAACTGTGACCTCATGTTTGGCCCAAATTAATCTGACAGAAGTCATAGGAGCCTGAGTTGAGAATGGGATCCTTTAGAGCAGAGGTTGGTAAATTTTTTCCCTAAATGGCCAGACAGTGAATATTTTAGGCTTTGACAGCCATATGGTCCCTGATACAACTAGTAGTCATAGGTAATATACAAACAAATGGGCATGGATATGTTCCAATAAAACTTTATTTACAAAAAAATGTGATGGGTGGCACTTAGCTTAGTCGGACCTTTTCAAATATTTAGACCACCATATTGCTGGAAACAGAACCTTTTATCTTTTAATAACTTTTTCTCTTAAGTCTCAAAATCTGGTGTGGGTGGGGGGGAAATGCTGATTGACTCTCATAGCTTGATTTAAATAACCTGTCAGATGCAATTGGCATGAGGAGGCAATAAGAAATGCATCAGCTTTCCGGATGCTAAAACAGAAAAAAGCACGCATGCTCCAGTAGAAGGGAGGGGACAGGGCCCAGAGCTCCCACCACATGTCCTCACTCTCACGCTCCGAGAAGATCTCAAGGCCCTTTGAGGAGCCTTAGGATCATCTGTTGAAAACAAATGGCCTACACATAAATGATTACATTGTGTAATGTTGAATATACTAATTATCCTGATTTGAGCATCACATATCGCACGCAGATATTGATATTCAATGCTGTACCCCACAGATATGTATATTCAATTATGTTTCAATCAAAAAAAAAAAAAAGAAAAGAAAAGGTAAGAAAACAAATGGCCTAGTCTACCACCTCAATCTCCTAAATTGTGTTGAATCTTTCCATTTTATTATGCCTCTTCCCCACAGCATTACATCCTATCCCTCTAAATCACTCTTTACTTTGCTAAAATTTTTCCAAAATTAAAATATAATCATACTGACATCCTCAAACATGGTATTTGGGGACTTGGACAGGTTGGTAAATTGGACAGG